TCCTCCAGCGCCGCAAACTGACAGGTCACGTGGCCGCGGGCCGGAGGGGCGGGGCAGGTTGGCCACGCCCCGAAAAGGGGGCGGATCTCGAAGGCGGGGCTTGGACGAGGAGTGTCATCTGCGCAGGCGTGGGCGGCCGGGCGGTGGAACCAAGGATGCTGGAACAGCTGGAGCGGTAGTACGGCGGGTTGCGCGCTTGCCTTCCCCACGATTGGCCTGGGTTTGATCTTCGGCATCCCATATGATCCCCGAAGTCTGCCAGTAGTGATCCCTGAGTGCAAAGCCTGAATACCACCGAAAGTGGCCCTAAAACAACAACAACAAAAAGATGCTGGGACATCTTTCTGAGCTCGGGATAAGTGTGTTTATGGCTAGCATCCCACACACGGTTGACTTCATTGACAGTGACACTTATCTTGTATTCATCATTACTTACTCACTGTTATAATCAAATCTTATGCAGGTAAATACTGAAACAGTGATAGCTTCTGAAAACTGAAAATCTTTGCAAAGTCCGGCACAAGTTCCATCTTGCAGAATCCAGAGGTGAAGTCTTTGCCTTTCCGGAATGCCTGTGGGATTTGTAATCTTGCTGTTTTGAAGAGTCCAGTGGCTCTCCTGCATTGCCTCACTCTCCTCTGAGGTCTACAACCTCTGTGGAAGACGCCTCTGACTTTCCAGTGACTAGCAGACTTGACAGTATTTCCAGTCACAACTGTTTGACGCCCTGGCTCCCTTCTGGAAATGCTGCTCTGCCTTCTCCCTCTCTCCCCTCCCATTTCTCCAGAAGTTCCTCTCATTACATACTCCCCCACCTCCTTAAATAAACCCATGTATCTAGAGAGCAGCACAAGCTGTATGAGTCACTTTCCCCACCCAACGTGACTCCTTCTTGTGTTGATTCTGTCAGGGTACCCGGCAATGGTTATTATCTACCAAGATGGGAACTGGGGAGTCTTTCCATCCATCGTCTTCCCCTTCCCAATATCCCAGTCCATTCACCCCACACCCCACACCCCAATTGTAGACCTGCATCAGCTGGACCCATTTAGAGGCTTCAGAATTTTCAGATCAGGACTACCCCCATCACCTCGCCCTGCCTCTTTGGTGTCTTTGCCATCTGTTTCTCCAAAAAGACTGAACCTCAGTTGGATTAATTTCTTCTGGAGCGATAGCACAGTGGTAGGGCATTTGCCTTGCACGTGGCCAACCCGGGTTCGATTCCTCCGCCCCTCTTGGAGAACCCAGCAAGCTACCGAGAGTATCTCGCCCGCAGGACAAAGCCTGGCAAGCTACTCTTGACATATTCAATATGCCCAACACAGTAACAACAAGTCTCACAATGGAGATGTTACTGGGCCCCCTCAAGCAAATCATGAACAAAGGGAGGACAGTGCTACAGTAGTCACCCATTCCACAGAATAAGTTCTTTTTGTTTTTATTGAATCATAGTGAGACACACAGTTGCAAAGTTATTCATAATTGGGTTTCAGTTACATAATGTTCCAGCACCCATCCCTTCACCAGTGTACATTTCCCACCTCATGACTCTAGTCCTCACCCTCCAATCCCGCCCCCACCCCCGCTACCACCCGACACACACACCTGCCTCTATGTCAGATACTTTTCTTTTTACCACAGAATAAATTCTTAACTAGTGCCAAATGTAGGTGACATGTAAAGGTCAAATGGAGGCAACACTTCCTCAGGAGCTGGCCCCATTGATTTTCCATCTCATTCTCCTTCCAGCACCAAGCTGGCAACATTTCTGGAAACAATAGATTGAGTTAGTTCTCATCTCTGTCTTTTCCAAAGTGTTCAGCTATGCATACATTCTTCTTGATCTCTCATGGGCCTGATTGCCACAGGTGAATTATTTTTGTCTTCTCAGACATAGCTTAGATGATCTCTTTGGTGTAGCTTCTGGATGATTTCTAGAAGAATTCAGAATTCTATCTTATGTATTTCTTTTCTTACTCCACAGTGAGTAGGACACTGTAAGTGCTCAAAAATATTACCAAAGAGCTGGAGAGATAGTGCAGTGATTAAGGCATTTGCCTTGCACATGTATGACCCGGGTTCGACTCCCAGGGTCCCAGATGGTCCTCCAAGAGTAGATAGGAGTGATCCCTGAACACAGTCAGGTGTAAGCCCTGAGCACCCATAGGTGTATCCTAAAATCCAAAAACCAAATAAAAAGCCAAAAATATTATTAAATAATATTTAGCTGGTTGCCTTCTTTCCTCCATGTGAACTTATGTCATTCTTATACCAGTCTTCTTCTACCCAAATTAGAACAGTGTCAGGCAAACTGTTACAAAACTTACAATTCTGGAGTACTTAAACAGATTCAGATTATACTTAAACTGCTTCGAGTACTCTCTCATTATCTCATGAGTGTTACACCCACATCTAATGGATCTATCTCCATATTGGCTTTATCCATGAGTTACCAAGGTGATATACTGGGAGATGCTTCTCATAGGTTCCCTACCTTGAGACATCAGTTGCCTATGGACCTTTTTAAAAATCAAGTCCTGACAAATATTGTGGATTTAAAATATATCTGCTTAGTTAGCTCTAATAAAACAGTATTCTCAGATGTGGGCTTTGGTTCCATTGTATCTGAGTCAGTGATTTTGAGTATAAACATTCCTTTTCAAAATTGAATTATTGTGAAATACACAGTTACAAAGTTCTTCATGATTGGGTTTCAGTCATATATATGGGTTTCAGCCAACATTCTGTGGCTGAAACCATTGTACATTTCCCACTATCAATGTCCCCAGTTTCCCTCTCCCACCTTGTCTCTATGGCAGGCACTTCTCTCTCTCTTTCTCTCTCTCTCTCCTTTTGGACATTTTGGTTTGCAATACAGATACTATATTAGTGTCAAACATTTTTTGCAGCCCACACATAGCATAGCAGGTAACTCTTTAGTAGCCACTGAGTGTGAAAGTGAGAACGAAATTGAATTGGTGGTTTCAAAGGAAGCTGTAGCTTCAGAATGAGACCTTGTGGTATAAATACGATGAATTATAAGAGCACTCAGAAGCTTTCTTTGATGAACAGTGGTCACAAATAGAACATATGGATGCTGCATCAGAGGGTGGTTAGAAACCATTGAAAGCTCTTAGGGGCTCACATGCCATCCCGTGAGAGACACTATTTTGAGAAGAGCTGCTTCATGTTACTCCCTGTCTTCCGAAATTTCCAACCCACCTCACCTTATCATTTCCCTGATAGGCCCCAGAGGCTGACCTCTAGCAGGCCTCATACCTAGGCCAACCTGGTCTGAGCTGCTCTGAGTGGTCATGAAGCAACACAACCAGAATGCCTTTTTGGAGAACTAAGAAGGCAATAGTAATGAGGGTGGACAGTGGTTCTCTAGCTTCAGTGTTCCCAAGTACAGCTAGGAAACAAAGCGTGTTCTTGGTCAAAAAGTAAAAGTAAAGTAAAGGCCCTCCCGTTGATCATCGATTTGCTCGAGCAGGCCCAGTAATGTCTCCATTGGAGACTTTGTTGTTACTGTGTCTGGCATATCGAATACATCACGGGTGGCTTGCCAGGCTCTGCCATGTGGGCGAGATACTCTCGATAGCTTGCCGGGCTCTCCAAGAGGGGCGGAGGAATCGAACTCGGGTCGGCCATGTTGGCTGCGTGCAAGGCAAACGCCCTCTTGGTCAAGTGTCATATAAATCCAAATCTAGAAGGGACATTTTTCTGTGGGATCAGTCTCCCCAAAAGATCAGATAGACTTCCCTCAATATGCCAGAGTAAGCTAATTCCAATAAGCGACGCCTTGGAATGGGGAACGGATGGTCAAGACAGTACTGATGGGCCTCTGAGGAACTGTTACCTTTCCTCAGGAATGAGGTTTAAGTTAAGAGTGAAGGCTCAAAAGCAGCACTAGCTCTACCTCAGTACTTTGCCCTTTTCCTCAATGGGAAAAGCAGTCATTGCTTCCCCTTTTTATGATCCAGAAACATATAATTTGGGGAAGATTTCATCCAGGTGGAAGTTTATGGGTCAACCTGTTTTCTCTATCTGAGAAACTTCTATGTTTTACTCTCAGAATAGAGATGAATAATTACTCTCCTTCCCATGTGAAATTTCTCCCTCTTCTTGATGTCCTAGACTCTTAATGTAGGATATTTATCACGGTCTTCCCTATTTTTCTTTACAATTTAAAGTCATGTAAATTGCTCCCACATATGATAATTTTATTTATTTTTTTGCCAACCCATCTGGTGTTGATCATTTGTCCAGCCTGAGAAGAATCACGCCAGCAAGGTGTGGGCTTTATCCCTGTACTGATAAGACAATTGCCTGTGCTGTTCCCTTTTCTCTCACTCCCAAATAAAATTCCCTAAAGATAACCTGTGTACAAATTGTTCTCTTAGGAATATATTTTCAGAGTTGTCCCGAGAACAGCGCATACAGGACTAGAATCAGGTTTTACTTTAGCCTACGCTTTATTTGAGAATAAGAGGAGAATGGATGATAGAGTGGGAGGGAAGGAGTTATGAAGAGAATAGTTTTATCAATAGTGTTGAGGTGTGAGAAAGAACCCCCACTCCTCTGGGTTTCTTCTCTGACTGGATGAAAAACAAAGATGGTGCCAGGCATATTAGTCAAGGAAATGTCACCAATATGCACAGAACTGTGATGTTGGTGTAAATCTAATTTCTGCAAAGGAGAAAAAGGAGTTAAATCCCTGAGGGACTAAAGATTACAGAGAGAAAGATGAGATTTCATGTGACAAAGAGGAGATGAACTCTCTTTGCTTTAAAATCTTGCTGAATTGCATTAGCCTCTTTCAATGCAATACAGTTGGAAAATTATGTCTACTTTGACAAAAAAAAATTCCTAAGTCACACCAAATGCTATTTATTCCTTTCATACTTTTAATACTTTCATGCTTCTTAGAACTACTGTTTGGCAATAATATAACTGTTGCAAAACATAAATAAAAATGCTTTATCCTCAGTTTTGTTTCC